AAATTATCCACTAAATAAATATATGGCAGCGTTTTGGCTCTGAAGACATTATGACACACAGACAAGCACTGAGAAAATGGTCAAACTTACGACTATACTTGGATTAACCTTACCTAACCCAACCCAACTTAATCCAGTCTAATGCATTCTAACCTGACCTAAACCAACCCAATATAATATATAACTTAACCTAATCTAACCCAACCCAACTTAATCCAGTCTAATGCATTCTAACCTGACCTAAACCAACCCAATATAATATATAACTTAACCTAATCTAACCCAACCTAACTTAATCCAGTCTAATGCATTCTAACCTGACTTAAACCAACCCAATATAATATATAACTTAACCTAATCTAACCCAACCCAACCTAACCTAACCAAGACAGGCCATCGCACTCCTTCCGAGCACTAGACCCACTACAAGGGAAATTATTATACGATTAATTATATATACAGTGTACATATATAATAATGGCAGTACTGTATTAATTATATGTTAAAATATATTAGAAGAATTAAATGAAAGTCTATGAGACCTTTCCCACACCCCATAGTAGAAATTCTAATGTCTTAAACACTTTATTTTACAGTAGATATTCAATGTCTAACTTTATTTTACCATAGTAGAAATTCCTTTGTCTTGAACACTTTATTTTACACCCCATAGTAGAAATTCCATTGTCTCTAACACTTTATTTCCACATAGTAGAAATTCCTTTGTCTTGAACACTTTATTTTACACCCATAGTAGAAATTCCATTGTCTCTAACACTTTATTTTACACTCATAGTAGAAATTTTGTCTTGAACACTTTATTTTACATAGTAGAAATTCTTGTCTTGAACACTTTTTACCCATAGTAGAAATTCTTTTGTCTTGAACACTTTATTTTACACCCCATAGTAGAAATTCTAATGTCTCGAACACTTTATTTTACACCCCATAGTAGAAATTCCATTGTCTCGAACACTTTATTTTACACCCCATAGTAGAAATTCCATTGTCTCGAACACTTTATTTTACACCCCATAGTAGAAATTCCTTTGTCTTGAACACTTTATTTTACACCCCATAGTAGAAATTCCTTTGTCTCGAACACTTTATTTTACACCCCATAGTAGAAATTCCATTGTCTCGAACACTTTATTTTAACACTTTATTTTACACCCCATAGTAGAAATTCCTTTGTCTTGAACACTTTATTTTACACCCCATAGTAGAAATTCCATTGTCTCGAACACTTTATTTTACACCCCATAGTAGAAATTCCTTTGTCTTGAACACTTTATTTTACACCCCATAGTAGAAATTCCTTTGTCTTGAACACTTTATTTTACATCCCATAGTAGAAATTCTAATGTCTTGAACACTTTATTTTACACCCCATAGTAGAAATTCCTTTGTCTCGAACACTTTATTTTACACCCCATAGTAGAAATTCCTTTGTCTCGAGCACTTTATTTTACACCCCATAGTAGAAATTCCTTTGTCTTGAACACTTTATTTTACACCCCATAGTAGAAATTCCTTTGTCTCGAGCACTTTATTTTACACCCCATAGTAGAAATTCCTTTGTCTTGAACACTTTATTTTACACCCCATAGTCGAAATTCCATTGTCTCGAACACTTTATTTTACACCCCATAGTAGAAATTCTAATGTCTCGAACACTTTATTTTACACCCCATAGAAGGAATTAATTTTCTCGAACACTTTATTTTACACCCCATAGTAGAAATTCCATCCTTCGAACACTTAACTACACCCCATAGGGATTATATCCTTCCCACGAGTCAACCAACTAATGCTGCAGCCCTTTCGTATGCCCCTTATGGTAAATTCTAAGTCACGAATATGCCAAGTTAGTGAATTAATGCTCCCGTTTTCGTATGCCCCTTATGGTAAATTCTAAGTCACGAATATTCCGAGTTAGTGAATTAATGCTGGCCTTTCGTATGCCCCCTTTTTGGTAAATTCTAAGTCACTAATATGCCGAAGTTAGTGAAGTGGGATGCTCCCGTTGCATGACCCTTATGGTAAATTCTAAGTCACGTAATATGCCGAAGTTAGTGAAGTAATGCTCCTGTTTTCTGTATGCCCCTTATGGTAAATTGCTCAATATACCGAAGTTAGTGAAGTAATGCTCCCCGTTTTCGTGATGCCCCTTATGGTAAATTTAAGTCACGAATATTCCGAAGTTAGGTGAAGTAATGCTCCTGTTTCAGATGCCCCTTATGGTAAATTCTAAGTCACGTAATATTCCTCGAAGTTAGTGAAGTAATGCTCTGCTGTATGCCCCTTATGGTAAATTCTAAGTCACGAATATGCCAAGTTAGTGAATTAATGCTCCCGTTTTCGTATGCCCCTTATGGTAAATTCTAAGTCACGAATATTCCGAGTTAGTGAATTAATGCTGGCCTTTCGTATGCCCCCTTTTTGGTAAATTCCCGTACAGTATTTACCAAAGGCACGAAAGTTGTATTTTTATGGTGTGTGGAGAGAGAGAGAGAGAGAGAGAGAGAGAGAGAAAAAACTAAATAAAATAAAATAAAAATAATTAATAAAAAAAATAATAATAATAACTAAATAATATACCCAAATAAACGTAAACACAAACAAACCCCATTAATACTGACGGCACGTTACTTATTGTCTTAAGAGTCTCGATATATGATACGACGGAACCTCTATATAATGGACTGACCTCTTACTGTTCGTTATATAGAGGTTGCATAGTTAACGGACCTTGATATAATGGACTGACCTCTTACTGTTCGTTATATAGAGGTTTTATAGTTAACGGACCTTGATATAATGGACTGACCTCTTACTGTTCGTTATATAGAGGTTTTATAGTTAACGGACCTTGATATAATGGACTGACCTCTTACTGTTCGTTATATAGAGGTTTTATAGTTAACGGACCTTGATATAATGGACTGACCTCTTACTGTTCGTTATACAGAGGTTAACAGTCACTTAATAAACTGTATACATCTCTACGTTACAGACAGTCAACAGTCCAACAGTCAACAACAAATACAGTAATTAACAAAAATAATCAACCAGTCAAGGCACAGTTCTTCAGTGTGTTTGTTCCTAGTCTATGGTCCCTTCTCCTCCTCTTCCTCCTAGCCCTCTTCCTCCTAGCCCTCTTCCTCCTAGCCCTCTTCCTCCTAGCCCTCTTCCTCCTAGCCCTCTTCCTCCTAGCCCTCTTCCTTCTAGCCCTCTCTTCATAATCCCACCCCTCCCTACCTCCTTCCCCACTTGTTCCTAGTCTATGGTCCCTTCTCCTCCTCTTCCTCCTATCCCTCTTCCTCCACCTATCCCTCTTCTTCCACCTATCCCTCTTCTTCCTCCTATCCCTCATAATCCCCTCCCTACCCCCCAGCAGGTCACAGAGGGATGAGGTTGATCACAGGTTAAGTTAACTCAAATGGCGTCTCTCTCTCTCTCTCTCCTGGGTTAAAAACGTTACTTAATATTTATATAATCTGGTTAATAATGATCTGGGACTATTGTGTGATGTGTTAGGGTAGAGATGTGTGTGTGTGGAGTGTGTGAGACAGGTGTGTAACAGGTGTGAGACGCATATGGCAGGCACAGAAAGCAACTACATTACTGTACAGGCAAATCCTTCAGTCATCAAATAACCTTTAAAATACTATAACACAAGGTTCATTATTGCATCCCATCTATGTACTGTCTCTTATGACCTTATACACTTCAAAGAACCTAAAATAATGCAGTAATTACTAAAAAAAATAACCTAACCCTAAAGAAATAATCGTCATAGTTCAATAACGTTCTGAGAAAATACCGTAAAAATGACAATAACGTCGAGTTAAAAAAAAATCACTAAACTCCGAAATATTGAGGAATTACCATCAAAGAGCATCACATCGTAAAAAAAAAATAACATTTAAGTTCCGAAACATTTAAAAAAATTACCTAAGATAACGAAAATAACATCGAGAAGTCAAAAAAGAAATCCCAAAGTTCCGAAACATTTAAAAAATTACCTAAAATAACGAAAATAACACCGAGAAGTCAAAAAAGACATCCCCAAAATTCCGAAACATTGATAAATTACCTTAAAATAACGAAAATAACATCGAGTCAAAAAGACATCCCCAAAATTCGAAACATTGATAAATTACCTTAAAATCACAATGACACATCCCCCAAAAATAACTTCAATATTAGTCAGCATTCGAGAAAAATATGTTCTTCATAAAATGTTGCAAAAATACCTAACACTTCATATTAATCTAAGCATGGGCTGCTACCCGCTTGAGTTTGGCTTCCCGTTTTGTTTGTTTTAGTGAGTCGAGGTGTGTGTAGGTCGTGTATGTCAATGGCTACCACACACACACACATGCACGCACACCAGACCCTCCCAGACTGACAGATAGCCCCACACACCTGACCCTCCCAGACAGACAGATAGCCACACACACACCAGACCCTCCCAGACTGACAGATAGCCACACACACCTGGCCCTCCATGACAGACAGATAGCCACACACACCTGACTCTCCAAGACAGACAGACAGACAGACACACCCAAGACTATATAGCCTCACGTCCAAACTTACCATAATAAATCTCTTATATAATACACTACTGTATCTCTCATTGTATAATTTTATAAAAATATAGTTGCATTTTCCCTCACCATTGTAACGACCAGATTATTGTGGTAGTCTTTGGCCAGTGACAGTAGTCTTTGGCCAGTGACAGTAGTCTTTGGCCAGTGAGAGTAGTCTTTGGCCAGTGACAGTAGTCTTTGGCCAGTGACAGTAGTCTTTGGCCAGTGAGAGTAGTCTTTGGCCAGTGAGAGTAGTCTTTGGCCAGTGACAGTAGTCTTTGGCCAGTGACAGTAGTCTTTGGCCAGTGACAGTAGTCTTTGGCCAGTGACAGTAGTCTTTGGCCAGTAACACCTTACATTACCATTATTCCTGAACATTCTTTGATAAAAACACTTCGTAAATAAACACACTTGAATAATATTTTATTTCAATTGATCTCTATAATTAGTTCAACTCAAGTTATTGTTCAAAGTTCTCCTGTTCTGTGTTCATTATTGACCCCATACCACTGAGCTGCACGAAGTTGACCCCACAACACAGGGCTGGTGAACGTCTGCGGGAACACCGAAAGCAAAATATTGTAATGTTTATATCAGCGGTGTTGTGGTGTAAGGTATAGCACTAGAGGCAGGGCAGTGTGGTCCTAGCATATACCAACGTAACCCAACCTAACTCTAACCTAAACTAATCTAGCTTGACCTGACTCTAATTTAACCTGGGCTGATCTAACCCAACCTAACACTAACCTAACTCTAACCTAATCTAGCTTGACTCAACAACCTAACCTGGGCTGATTTAACCCAACCTAACTCTAACCTAACCTAATCTATCTTGACTCATCTCTAACCCAACCTAACTCTAACCTAAACTAATCTAGCTTGACTCATCTCTAACCTAACCTGGCTTAAACTAACCTAACCTGACCCCATAAAAAGGATTTAGCTTATGGGTTTAAAATCCTCATAGATAAGTGTTGCTGAACTGCTAGGACTGACTATGGATGGTAACTGCTAGGATTAAGAGCCATGATAGAGCCAGTTATGACTGCTAGGATTAAGAGCCATGATAGAGCCAGTTATGACTGCTTGGATTAAGAGCCATGATAGAGCCAGTTATGACTGCTAGGATTAAGAGCCATGATAGAGCCAGTTATGACTGCTAGGATTAAGAGCCATGATAGAGCCAGTTATGACTGCTAGAATTAAGAGCCATAATCGACCACCAGCTTCACAAAATAACATACATTATGTGTCAATACAAAAATAATTATCAAAAATTTAACTTTAACTTTGAAATCTTTCCTGTGAACGAATTACACCTGGTTCAAGACAGTACCTCCTGACTGCTGACACTGGCTCCTGACAGCTGATGGTACCTCCTGACTGCTGACAGCTGATGGTACCTCCTGACTGCTGACAGCTGATGGTACCTCCTGACTGGTGACACTGACTCCTGACAGCTGATGGTACCTCCTGCCTACTGACAGCTGATGGTACCTCCTGACTGCTGACACTAACTCCTGACAGCTGACAGTACCTCCTGCCTGCTGACACTGATTAGATAACAATAAATGAAAAGATATTAATTTACCCCCTGTATAAACAGTTTATGTTTAGGGGCCTGTGAGGTACATTAAGGGGCCCAGGAGTGACAATGAGGGCCCAGGAGTGACCGAGAGGGCCCTAAGTAGTCTCCACAGCTTCAGGTATAACGTTCAATGCTCTACTAGGCTGGCACATAGCAGGAGGCCTAGAGAGGGAAGAACCACCTTCTGGGGCACTACCATCATCACTACCATCACTACCATCATCACTACCATCATCATTACCATCATCATTATCAACATTACCATCATCATTATCAACATTACCATCATCATTATCATCGTCTACGCGGTCATTACCATGGTCGTTCGGTCCACCCGTGTCTATAACCCCATCGTTACCGTTCCAGCCGTCCAAACGAGCAGTTGCGTTCAGTCTGAGGTCGTTATCCGTGTTTCTCAGTCTGTTATCACTCATTTCATTCTTGTTTTTGTAACTATCACCTAATTCATTATTCATTACAGGAGCTAACGACCCATTAATCACCTCGTTACTCATTACAGGAGCTAACGAGCCATTAATCACCTCATTACTCAAAACAGGAGCTAACGAGCCATTAATCACCTCGTTACTCATTACAGGAGCTAACGAGCCATTAATCACCTCATTACTCAAAACAGGAGCTAACGAGCCATTAATCACCTCGTTGCTCATAATAGGGGCCATAGTTCTCACGGCTTCACTGTTCACCTCCCCTCGCTTCACCGACCCATCACACCCCACTGGAGTTCTCCGAGGCTGTGGCGGCCGCTGATAAACACTCCCGGACGTATTTGTACTGTCGTCGCGGTGGAGATATATCGGTGTCTCCCGGGCGATGTTTACGTCGACGGGAACGCGAGTCAAGACGTTATCGAGGTCGACGGCTCCTGGCATCGTCTCCCGGTCGACGTCGAGGGGAACGTGAATCAAGACGTCGTCGAGGGATATTACCGTCCTCTCTCCCGGACTGTGGACCTCGTCGCTCTCTGACTCGGGACAGCTCTCCCCGCTGACCACCCTGTCTAGGTCACCGCCGCTGCTGCTGCCCGTCACCGTTCTCTCCCGGCCGTCAGGAGAGGCACAGAGGGACAAAGATTCGTCCTCCTCCCCCTCGGCCGATGGCATGACATCCGGGTTACTTACTTGAAGTTTCTCCAGTTTTTCACGTAATGTTTCCCAGTACTGAAAGAGGCGGTCAATTAAAAAGAGTAACAATAATAATAATAATAACAATAATAATAATAACAAACATACCATAAGTTTTCGTCCCCGACAACATTGTTTCATTATAACGTCACTACTCTTTAGACACCCATGATTCTGACAACATCCCGACTGATTGGTCACGGTGTCTTCACGGACTACATTGTATGGGGGGGGCATCACCTTCTCTCTCATCTTGGCTCACTACACCCACAGTATTTATTGGGCCTCCACAGCGTACGTGCGTGTTTAAGTGTTTTAGACGTTAATACTATACTGTAACTATTGAAAATGGCTCCCAAACGTCCATCGAGTGTAGTCTTAAACCCCACCTCACACTCACTCCACCTCCGCCCATCACTGAGTCCGATACAAAATGATTAAATTCATTTATCTTTATGAATGTATAATGTAAAATATTTTCTATAAATATTCCATCGAATTAATGTAGATGTAGATGTATTTTATGGGGCTAAAGGAGGCCAGGGGACGTAACTAGTGTATCTCATCTATTTCTTATGGGGAAAATTGATTCAGTTAACGTTGTGTTTTACAAGAACGAAACCACAATAATAATAATAATAATAATAATAATAAACACAGTAATATCTCCATTAACCAGAATTCTCCAAACCCAGAACTCTCCAATAGTCAGAATTTAAATGATCTCAGAAAATCGTTCCCAAAGCCGGAAAATTTCGGCTTTGGGAACGATTTTCCGAGGGGCAAATTTAACGTTAAATTCCGAGAAAAAATTCCGCAATACCCCAAAAATTCTCTGGACGAGGGATTTTTTTCCAGGTTCGAGGGAGTCGTCTGGTTACCTGGAAATCTGTCATTTCTGGAAGTGTTCTAGACCAATTGTTCCAGCTAATGAGGATACACTATATCAAGTTTACATAAATATAAGTCAGGTGAAATGATTCTGTCCATATAAACCCCAAGGTAATGGGTCTAAGTTCAAACAGGAATAGAGAGAGAGAGAAAGAGTTAACAGAATGAGAGAGAGAACAAAATAAGAGAGAGAGAGAGAGAAAAAGACAGACAGACAGATAAACAGACAGACAGACAGACACCCCAATACACCACCACCACCTCACCTTCTCCTCCTGTGCGGTCATCTCCTCTAGAGGGACAAAGGGCCTGGCACCATGGTGGGCACTCAAGAGGGTCTCGACGGCCTCTGGTGGCGTCAGCTCAGCCCCTACGCCCGGCTCCCTCGGCAGACGGCACCTCCGCTGTTGATGAATCTCTTCGGAAATCTGTAAGGAAGCGGAAGATGTAGGTTCGGGGTTTTTGGCCTAGTTTAGGGTACGTAGCGAGGTGCTTGTTTACCGGGCGATAAACTGTTGTTCCTCGAAGAATTATTTATTTATCGATGTTTTTTTTTTCTGTGGTATTGTAAATCTTTTGTAAATTATGAGAAGCTTGTAGACTATGATATGAGGTTTGTTATGGTGTAATGATGTGGTAAATGGCGTCCCAGTAAATACGAAAGATTGATTTACGATTATTTTTGACAATGGAAACCTCTTGTAAATTATGAGAAGCTTGTAGACTATGATATGAGGTTTGTTATGGTGTAATGATGTGGTAAATGGCGTCCCTGTAAATACGAAAGATTGATTTACGATTATTTTTGACAATGGAAACCTCTTGTAAATTATGGGAAGCTCTATAGTGGACTTCTCTATGCCAGATATATCACCATTAACAGACAGGGCTGGTGGGTACTTAGGGGGAAGGGGGGGGAGGAGGGAATCTTCAGGTGAGCCTCAGGGGGGGAATCATCAGGTAAGCAGTTAAGGGGAACTAATCATCAGGTAACCACTTAACAGATTCACCAGAGTACCACTTAAGAGGAAGGACAAGCTCTCAAGTGACTCATAAAGAATTAAAATAACATCGTACAAGCCCCAACAGACCTGCTCGAGGCTCCTCAACGATTGGGCGTAAGACGTCTTGGAGGCAGAGATAGCTCGCTGTAACTGTTGAACTTTATCCTTCTGATTCTCTAACTGCGACTGGATGTTATTTTTCTCGTCGAAGTAAACCAGCGACTTGTTGATAGAGGACCTCAGGCCGCGCTGTAGCTGCTGGACGCGTTGTTCCGCCTGCTGGAACACCGAGGCTCGACGCATGTGTTCCCTCTCACTGGCAGCCTTCTGTGCCTCCGCTTCCATCACCTGCGGCGGAGTTATTAGTGGTCACGGAAATGTAAATAAATTAATATGTAAATTAATTAATCTGAGGAAAATAAATTAATAAGTAAATTAATTAATAAAACTGAGGAGAAATTATTGACAAACATAAATAAATCAATAAATAAATAAATTAGTTGAAAATTAATCTGAAAAATTAGTAATTATTCTGTCTGTCTGTCTGTTTGTCCATCTGTCTCTCTGTCTATCCATTCATGCGCGCGTGTGTGTGTGTCTCTCCATCCATGTGTGTTTGAGTGTGTGCATCCTTGTGTACGCATGAGACCATCCATGTGTGAGTGTATGCATCCACGTGTGTATTTCCAACCCTGTGTGTACATGAGATCATCCATGTGTGAGTGTATGTTTATGTGTGTATGTATGTGTGCGTATGTGCGTATAAACAAACCTTAATAGTAGCATGGTTAAGCATCTCCTGCCAAGCCGAGTCAAACTGCCAGTGTTGGTGTCGGCAGTTAACGAATCTCTCCTCAGCCAGAGCGATCGTTTCCTTGGCCGCCTGGTGTAGGGCTGCAACACAACCAATAGTTTAATTAGATTCTGTATGTATGTATGAATGTATGTATGTATGTATGTATGTATCAAACAGGGAGGTACTACCGCCTGTGAAGATATTGGAAGCATAATGTGTTGTCTAAGGGTCGTTCCATGTGTCCTGTGGCAGCTAGCGATTAGGGTGTACAAGCGATCTATTTTTCAAAGCTAATTGTATCCCGTATGTGAGGGTAAACATGTAGTCTCAGCATTATAGATGTTTGTGGGAACTTTTTGAGAATACTGTACTTCGATGTATGGTACTGTACCTGTAGATGGACCCTAGGAAAAAAATCAGAAAAGGATTGAAGTTGGTGAATTTCGCCATATTGACAAGGAACTTTGCCAAGATCCAAAGATGTTTCACGGGTACACCAGAATGTATTGGGGGACGATGCCAACACTGGTCTGTGTATGAACTGAACAATGAAAGATGTATTATAGATTGTCACTTGCCAGGTGTGTTGTGGGGTGTGTGTGTATTTAGAATTTGTATAAGTAAATAGAGAATTTTATATAAAGTTATTGAAATAAAGGAAAGATATTGCTACACTTGCTCACTTGTTCATTATAGAATCATTAACAACGAGGGTCTGGACACAAAGTAATATGTAATTCAAGAATGTACAGTAGCTAAAACAACTATCTGTGCTTACTTTGTGGGGAACAATATGAGACCATGGACAATAAATATTGGTATATGAGGGCTGTCACGAGCACACGTAACATTTATGAGACCATGGATGATAAATATTGGTATATGAGGGCTGTCACTAGTCACACGTAACATTTATGAGACCATGGACGATAAATATTGGTATATGAGGGCTGTCACTAGTCACACGTAACATTTATGAGACCATGGACGATAAATATTGGTATATGAGGCTGTCACTAGTCACACGTAACATTTATGAGGCCATGGATGATAAATATTGGTATATGAGGGCTGTCACTAGTCACACGTAACATTTATGAGACCATGGATGATAAATATTGGTATATGAGGGCTGTCACTAGTCACACGTAACATTTATGAGACCATGGATGATAAATATTGGTATATGAGGGCTGTCACTAGTCACACGTAACATTTATGAGACCATGGATGATAAATATTGGTATATGAGGGCTGTCACTAGTCACACGTAACATTTATGAGACCATGGATGATAAATATTGGTATATGAGGGCTGTCACTAGTCACACGTAACATTTATGAGACCATGGACGATAAATATTGGTATATGAGGGCTGTCACTAGTCACACGTCAAATTTCGGAGCATGTCGACCCCCACCTGCACAGATAATTGATTTACCTACTGTACAGCCGACAACAAAACAGCGGCCTCTAGAATAAACAATACTTCACATTCATCTACAAATAATATAAGAGAAGCTGTTTATAGCGGTAAATAATTCTATAACCTTAGTTTTGGCGTAATGAGAAGGACTCGTGTCTGGGACGGAGACGAACAAAATATTTGATCGCTGCTTCTAGGTCGCTCGCAAACACGTGACCAGTCTAGGAAAGCACATATATTTGTCCGCTACATCAAGGTACTGAAGTGTGTTTAATCGTATGTTTCGTCGATGCAGGGCGGTCGTATATGGGACGCGGCCTGATGGTAGACCCGATGCTGCCATATGTGACCAAGTCCAAGGTTGGTGATCTGACTTTCTGCCTCATTTACGCACAAGTTATTATTATTGTTATCATTATTGTATTCTCACCCCGTACTAAACAAAGTATGTATGTATGTATGTATGTATGTATGTGTGTATGTATGTATGTATGTATGTATGTATGTATGTATGTATGTATGTGTGTATGTATGTATGTATGTATGTTTTTTTGTCAGTGATTCATGATTCTGAAAAAATTGATTTAATGAACTGCTATGGAAAGAGCAGTTCATTATATCGAGGGTCCGTTAGATGTGAAACCTCTATATAATGAACTATATTGTGAGAAAAGTTCATTATATCGAGGGTCTGTTAGATGTGAAACCTCTATATAATGAACTATATTGTGAGAAAAGTTCATTATATCGAGGGTCTGTTAGATGTGAAACCTCTATATAATGAACTATATGGACCATTCTCTGGGACAATATTGGACCATTCTCTGGGACAATATTGGACCATTCTCTGGGGCCATACTGGGCCATACAATACACAAATTACCATTAGCTCTCTGGTACTGGACGGCGGCCCTCTGACAGTCCAGCTGGGACGTTCTGGCCAACTCTCGAGCCTCGTAATATGGCCGGGCCTTCTCGATACAGCCGCCCAGTTTCTTGGCCATGGCCTTGAGGCGGGCCGTGGATTCGCTGAGAGTTGCTCGGAACACATTATTGGCTTCCTGGAGAAAAGATGAGGTTACGTTAGGTTACGTTGGGTTAGGTTAGGTTACGTTACGTTAGGTTAGGTTAATTCTAATTTGGCGTCAAGTTTACCTACGATTTGGCCTCCCAGCTTACCTTTAACTTGGCCTCCAGCTTAATACTTATTTCACCCCAGCTTACCTCTAATTTGGCCTCCAGCTTAATACTAACTTCACCCCAGATTAATACTAATTTGATCCCCAGCTTACTTTAAATTTAGCCCCTAAGCTTATCTCTTATTTCACCCCAGCTTACCTCTAACTTGGCCTCCAGCTTATTGATGTCATCAGTCGCAGTGTTAAGCTTCTCCAGCTCAATCTGAAATAGGGAAGATTATTTTAATACACCAGCTTAATTTATGACCCCAGAGAGAGAGAGCGAGCCAGAGAGAGAGCATATATTTGCTACATTACATATGCTATCAATACAGATAAGGTGTATTGATAAGGCAGTAGGGTGATTAGGACGCCTGGGCCATACTTAATCCATATGGTTTGATTGTTTACGTATAATGGGCCCTTGATATAATGGACTTTCATCTTCATAGTTCATTAGATGGAGGTTTTACATACACGGGCCCTTGATATAATGGACTTTTCATCTCTATATGGTTCATTAGATGGAGGTTTTATATACAATGGCCCTTGATATAATGGACTTTCTGAGTATCTCATATATGTTCATTAGGTGGAGGTTTTACATATACGGCCCTTGATATAATGGACTTTCATCTCTATATAGTTCATTAGATGGAGGTTTTACATATAATGGGTCTTGATATAACAATGACTTTCATCTCTATATGGTTCATTAGGTGGAGAGGTTTTACATATAATGGACCCTTGATATAATGGACTTTCATCTCTATATAGTTCATTAGATGGAGGTTTTATATATAATGGGCCCTTGATATAATGGACTTTCATCTCTATATAGTTCATTAGATGGAGGTTTTATATATAATGGACCCTGGATATAATGGACTTTCATCTCTATATAGTTCATTAGATGGAGGTTTTATATATAATGGGCCCTTGATATAATGGACTTTCATCTCTATATAGTTCATTAGATGGAGGTTTTATATATAATGGGACCTTGATATAATGGACTTTCATCTCTATATAGTTCATTAGACGGAGGTTTTATATATAATGGGCCCTTGATATAATGGACTTTCATCTCTATATAGTTCATTAGATGGAGGTTTTATATATAATGGGCCCTTGATATAATGGACTTTCATCTCTATATAGTTCATTAGATGGAGGTTTTATATATAATGGACCCTGGATATAATGGACTTTCATCTCTATATAGTTCATTAGATGGAGGTTTTATATATAATGGGACCTTGATATAATGGACTTTCATCTCTATATAGTTCATTAGATGGAGGTTATATATAATGGACCCTTGATATAATGGACTTTGATCTCTATATAGTTCATTAGATGGAGGTTTTATATATAATGGGCCCTGGATATAATGGACTTTCATCTCTATATAGTTCATTAGATGGAGGTTTTACATATAATGGGCCCTTGATATAATGGACTTTCATCTCTATATAGTTCATTAGATGGAGGTTTTACATATAATGGACCCTTGATATAATGGACTTTCATCTCTATATAGTTCATTAGATGGAGGTTTTACATATAATGGACCCTTGATATAATGGACTTTCATCTCTATATAGGTGATTAGATGGAGGTTTTACATATAATGGGCCCTTGATATAATGGACTTTCATCTCTATATAGTTCATTAGATGGAGGTTTTACATATAATGGGCCCTTGATATAATGGACTCTCACCTCTATATAGTTCATTAGATCGTTAGGGTTAGGTTAAGCTGTGAGGGTCAACCAATTAGGTCTTATTTACATAACAGATAAGATAAATTCACCTCTTTAATGAGTCAACACAGACCCACACCACATAAGCTAACCTGAGACTAACCTAACCTAACCAAACCTAAACTAACAGTCTAATCTCCAGTCTCCTCTCCCTCACCTACAGACAGGTGTTAGGTAACTGGCTGACAGACATACAGTCAGCTGGCTCACGTGAGACTAAACCAGTCAATCCAGTTACAGTCACAAACAGGAACACATTTGCTTGTTCAGGGCAAAAAATGAACTGGCTTAAATTCCTCTGTGAATGTCAAATGGGTATTACATCAGGTGAAGTTTAGACACCCCTTTTATTCCTACCACAATTTCAACCACAATTATGGAACCAATATGATACAACCACAATTATATAACAAACACTAATATGATATAACTATAATTTCACAATAACCATCACACTACCACAACAATAATAAGCAACCACTACCACCACAAACAATCACCACCACCACTACCACAACAATAAGCAACCACTACCACCACAAACAATCACCACCACCACTACCACAGACCAATCACCACCACCACTACCACAACAATAAGCAACCA